TTTTGAAGTAATATATCAAACACGAGAGACAGTGTTTCATCGAGATTTCTCAAACTCATTAATAATTCATCAAGTTTAAACAAAGGAAATCATGACCGTGACGGTATTTGGATATCTGATCTTAATTAGCACACATTTATACGAATTAATTCTCCGTTTTCTTCTTTGTTTTAGTTTCGATTGAGAAGATCTATCAAACACGCAAGACAGTGTTTGGCCACATTTCCAAACACCTCGAAGTTCGTCAAAAATACTCCGCTACGCGTCGTGTTTTCAACTCTCTTCTCGGTGATTGGAAATGTGGTCAAACACTGACTTTCGTGTTTGATATATTACATCCACACACCGAGAAAAGAGTTGAAAATAGGACGCGCAGCGGAGTATTTTTGACGAAATTTGAGGTGTTTAGATGGCCGATGAAACACTGTCTCGAATGTTTGATATATTCTCTCAATCGAAACAAAAACTAAGAAGTAAACGGATAAATAAAATCGTCCAATTCTATGCTAATTACGACCGGTTATCCAAGCTTCTTCACAGTTGTGATTTTCTTTGTAATAACTTGATGAATTATTAATAAGTTTTAGAACGCCACTGCGTGTTAAGAGAAAATTCCATACAAAGCTTTGCCGTTTTACGACTCCGCCCAGTAGAAAATCTCCTAACTACCCGCCAAAACTTCTTGGAGATTAATAGACCGTGTGAGAAGTAATCTATCAAACGCAAACGACCGCCTTTGACCACATTTCCAAACACCGAGAAGAGAGTTGAAAATACGACGCGTAGCGGAGTATTTTTGACGAACGCCCAGGTGTTTGGAAATGTAGTCAAACGATATCTTGAGTGTTTGATGTCTCTTCTCAATCGAAGCTAAAACTAAGGAGAAAACGGAGAAAGAAAACCGCAAAATCCATGCCAATTAAGATCAGATATCCAAACACCGTCACGGTCATGATTTCCTTCGTTTAAACTTGACAATTTATTGATGAGTTGGAGAAACACTGTTCACTGGTTTGCTATGCTCTACTTAACAATTAGATTATGAGCTCGAGATTTTTATCGCGTGATAGTTGACAAGGAACCACGCGAGTCAACTATCACCCATTTCTTAAAAATGGTGAGTAGCGTAGCCAATAAGAGGACATCAGTCTTGCTAAATTGCTTGCAGATTCATAATTGCATCGCGGACTTGGCTGCACATTTAGCCATTCCTGAATTGTTAAGGATGTCAAAGTGATTCTTTCAATTCAGTTTCTCTCAGTGCTCCGTCTCTCAGTGGAATACCGTGTACATGCACAGTTAATAACTATGGTAAATGTATACCTTATATTCTACTCACCTGAATCTGAGGCTGACGTAGAAGCATTTGTAGCAGATGGTTCGCCAATAGCCACGAAATCTTTGCTGTCGACAGAAATTGCTTCTGACCGCCACTTGTACAGCAGTCGCAGCCTAACCACTCCCACTGTCGCCGGAAAGCAACACATCATCAAGTGAGATTCTGTGATCTTAACCTGTGCCCCGTCCACAACATCATCGCCCAATTCATTTTGGAGTACACACAATGCCTCCGACATGGTCTTCCTGCGTGTAGAAGACAGCACCACAAGGTGATTTCCCGAGCCTGTAAGCTCTGTTTTGACAGCTACAGGAAGTGGACACTTGGCGAGTACCTCATACTTTGATGAAGGCACTTCGATCACCGATTCAAATGCTCCAACTCTGCGAATTTGCCCATCCAGGTGGACGAACGCAATTGCTTCAATCTGTAGCTCATCTTCAGACTCTTTTTTGATCTCGAACTGCTGAAAAAAGGTATCATGTGGCCTGTCGTACTGGATACCCTCGCTATAGCAGTTCACTAGGGAATTAGTACAGTCAGTCAACTCAAATCTCACCAGTTTGGATGAATCAAAGGCTGCAAACGTGATCAGATCAAGCGAAACACCGTAGAAGTAACGCATTTCAACTTCCTTTATATCACGAATATCTGCCAAGATTCTTCTCAGGGAGCATGAAAAAAACTGTAATCTCTTGTGCAATTTAATATCCTGGCGGCTCTGGAAAAATTCTCTTAAGAATTCAGACATATTCCAAATCCCCAGGCTTTTACTCCAATTTTCAATCACCTCGGTTGAATGCTTCCCGCAATTGTTGAGACACAAACTCTCAAGAACTCCACACACTTCGTACACGAGCCTTAAAATGTCTTTATTTAGAAAAGAGTCTCGAACTTTAGACTTATATTGGCTAACGATTTCTTTAGGCAGTCCTTTTAATCCATTCTGCACAATTACGCTATTCTCTTTATGGAAAATGTCTTTGATGACTTGAATGAGAAGGGGGACAATGGAGAAGAAATCTTGATGGGTGGATCTAGTTGAAGATGAGCAAATCTTCTCCAGCTTTAAGGCAACATCTTCGGTGACTTGTTGGTGGAAGGAAAGAAAACGTGGGTAGTCTTGTACAGAGACCTCTGCGTCCAGTTCAATACAGCAATCTTTGATCGCAAAGAATTCTAATTTGATTGGTGAAGTGTTCTATCAAGTGGGGATCCTCGCGTTTCAAGCTTTGGATTTCAAAGGCAAGTTCTCGCAAATGGTTGATGTGCACCTTCCTTCTTTTATCCACTTCACAGTCTTAAATGACGAGACATTCATGATTTTGTTAACAGCATCATAAAACAAAAAAACGACGGCCCTTTTCAGTTTTAAATACACGTTTCAATAGTAACGTCTGTCACCGTCAGTTACAACTAGACTGAATTTTCATATACAAATTAATATACAAGTTTTGTACAATAAGTGTTATCTAGAATAACTTACATAACACGAAAGAAGAACGTGCGAAAACAAAGAACAAAAGGGAAATTCAGAAAAAATGTGCGGAAAAATTAGAATGAAAGAGACANTCTTAAGAATTCAGACATATTCCAAATCCCCAGGCTTTTACTCCAATTTTCAATCACCTCGGTTGAATGCTTCCCGCAATTGTTGAGACACAAACTCTCAAGAACTCCACACACTTCGTACACGAGCCTTAAAATGTCTTTATTTAGAAAAGAGTCTCGAACTTTAGACTTATATTGGCTAACGATTTCTTTAGGCAGTCCTTTTAATCCATTCTGCACAATTACGCTATTCTCTTTATGGAAAATGTCTTTGATGACTTGAATGAGAAGGGGGACAATGGAGAAGAAATCTTGATGGGTGGATCTAGTTGAAGATGAGCAAATCTTCTCCAGCTTTAAGGCAACATCTTCGGTGACTTGTTGGTGGAAGGAAAGAAAACGTGGGTAGTCTTGTACAGAGACCTCTGCGTCCAGTTCAATACAGCAATCTTTTAAAATGGAATCGCAAAGAATTCTAATTTGATTCGTGAAGTATTCCATCAAGTGGGGATCCTCGCGTTTCAAGCTTTGGATTTCAAAGGCAAGTTCTCTCAAATGGTTGATGTGCATCTTCCCTCTTTTATCCACTTCACAGTCTTAAATGACAAGACATTTACGATTTTGTTAGCAGCATCATAGAATGAAAAAAACAGACGACGACGCTTTTCAGTTTTAAATACATGTTTCGATAGTAACGTCTGTCATCGTCAGTTACAACTAGAGCGAATTTTTCAAACAAAAAACAACTAGCGTGAATTTTCATATACAAATTAATATACAAGTTTTGTACAATAGGTGTTATCTAGAATAACTTACATAACACGAAAGAAAAACGTGCGAAAACAAAGAACAAAAGGGAAATTCAGAAAAAATGTGCAGAAAAATTAGAATGAAAGAGACAAATTAACATGTCGATGAATTTACTGATTTAAAGCAGGTTTCTCCCAATTGATGTACATGTACTTTGTGGCGTTTCTTCTGAACCTAAAAAGCGTTGTCCAATTTTTTTTTAATATACATTAACGATTGCTAAAACTTGGTATGTGGTCACACGCTTAGATTTTTTCTTTTCAAACTAGGAAATATTTTCAGAAATCTGCCATTGCTTTTAAAAAACTACTAGGTTTAAAACGCCATTTGCTTTCGTCTGTGTTATTATGGGCCAAGTAATGCAAACAACAGAACCTTGCAAGGCACAAACGTCCTTTACGAATGCTTCTCTTTTTTCAAAACATAACAAAAAGTGAAGGCTAAAACGTTTGAAAGATCGAAAATAAACTTTAACGAATGTAACAGAAGAACAAACATTTTTTACTATAATAATTAATAGGACTACTTATGTTAAAATCCCTTCTTATTTTGTCTTATATCTTTACTTTCAAAACTTATGAAAAGTTTGATCCAGCAATGTGTGGTGAGTGGATTTCTCAAAGCATCATATATTCAAGTTCAAGAGCGAAAAAAAATTAAGAGGGGAGAATTCTGGGTGGAAACAATTTTCTGACCAAATTCGGTAACCGAGATTGCTGCTGAACTAACCTTTTGAGTCAAGTCCTTGAAGAGTGTTTCTTAACACTGCAGGATTATCTTTATCATCCTCTTCTTGTCCTTTCGACCAGTGTTGGAGAATTACTTTCAGTTGTTCTTCATCATTCTGCCACGACTTCATGACTTCATTCATTACTTCTTCTGGGACCTCAAGCTTTCGGGCAACTGGTACAAGGTTTAAAATGGACTCCTCAACTCTTAACAGTCGCCTTACGTGTTCGCAAGTATCTGTAATAGAAACCTCCATATCATCAGCTGGTAATTTTATTCCTTATACTTGATTTTACCACCTCAGTAACCACCTCACATTAGTTTATTTTCGTTACATCTGTTTTAAAGAAAATTTAAGAAACACATTTTTACCACTTTGTTAAAGAACATTTCAAAAGATGGTAATAGTAGTTACTTTAGTAAAATAGTTAAAGGAGCTCAGTCATGGTTTGTGCATATTGAAAAGTTTAACCTCAATTTTTCAAATTTGTCGTTTGTAATCTGAGTTAATCTTCTCCATCCTTAGCCATCCTTGTTCCTTTATGGTTTATCATTATCTCTTTGGTGTTTTTCTATCTTATCAAACTGTTATTTTCAGGTTTCCTACCATTTAGAGGTAATTTTGTATGCGGTCAAAGTAACTCAAAATACTGTGACTGAGCCCCTTTAAAGGGTGGCAGCGGCCCCCACCCCTGTTTATCCCTAAGAATCCCTCGTTTAAACTTAATACAAACATACGTACATAATCCTGTTCGTGCTTAGGTAGCACATAAGGCCAGACACTCAAGAAATAGATATTTTGCTCACCCAGTTCACGGAAGGTTTCCTCCAGGAGATGTCCATATTGCCCTTCAATTCTTATCTTTCCTGTCAGGACCCTGTCATCAACAGTACCTTTAAGGGATCGCTTTATGACGTACTTGGTACTCCACAAAGTTGAAGAATCTACAATGAAGTCAGCAGTTTCAAGCTGTCCATCAGTTAGCTTATAGTCCTGCCCAAGGAGAACAGATACCTTGAGATTTTCATTGTTGTAGATGTGATTGCTCTTGGGTTTGTCTATCAAGCACAGCTCTTCATATAGGTTGCCCTTGAGCTCCATCAAAACAGAAGAAGGGTGTTCTCTGTAACACGTCTCATGGTAGACGTCGTGGCTCATGAATACAAGGGCAAGTTCACCGAAGGGTGAATGTGGATGGTTGTCTTTAAAAAGCACTGACAACGTGTAGTTGAATCCAAAAAGGTTCAGCCTGGTGACTACATCTTTGGCTAATATTGAAGTTAATCTCGACAGAGCCGCTATTCGAGAGAATCGGTTGATTTCAACTTTCAGTTCTTTCTTTTTTAAGTCAATTTTTGACTGATGAGTGATATCTTCCCAAACGATATTTCCGTCTCTAGCTTCAGTGCCATGCAAAATAAGAATGTTACTAACACGGACATCTTTTTCAATTGTTAACTTGGTTTGCAACCTAATTGGTTTCTTTAACACTTGACCATTTGGTTGCAAACTGATGATGGGTGCAATGAACATGACTTCATTTTCAAGTCCATTTTTGACTATCATATCGCAATGCGTAGAGGGTTTCTCCAGAATTATTTTGATGGGCACCTGATCGCCCAATTATCCTCTGCAAAAAATACTTCCTCCTTATTCACAATTCTTTCCACATTGCCTTCATTTTCTTTTGGCATTGTCATCATGTAGTACTTTCTGGGTTCATTTTCTAGGAGAAAATGTACATGTAACAACTATTAAAGTGGTACTATGACGAAAATCGCATCTTTCCTATCGCAGCCATTTTAAAACATAAACAAGTAGCCTGTGTGAGAAGAAAAATACTGCTTCCTATATTCAAATATCTCTTTTCATTCCAGAGATATTCAAGTTTTTAAAAGATGCAAATTAGCCCAGTGATGACATCATACACTCAACCAAATTTTGATCAACTATGATGAAAAAAGACATCTCAACCAATTTGTATTAGAAATGTTTGATTCTTTGCAGTAAGATTCTACTAAATGTGCTCCACGATATGAGCTTAACAGTTTGGTTACCATGGCAACATACTGGGTGCCAGACCTCCCCAATATTAAAGGCATTTCTGGCCACCTTTGGCATTCCATTTTGATATTTGCAAATGGTTTCTCATATGCTTGATCCAGCAAGCATATAAATATGTTAGCTCAAGTTTATGGCCTCATTTAATGTTTTGGGAGCTGAAAGTCACTAACATATTGAAATCAAGTGGGTGGTAACTGGAAAAGAGTGAGTTGCCATGGGAACAGACTTTTTTTTAGCCATAGGTGTGTTTCCTGTTGAACTATTAGCCTACCAAGTTTCAATGGTCTGCGTTGCAAATTGACTAAGATAGCTCTATTTATATACTTGATATAAAATTAGGTTGAGTGTATGACATCATCAATCATCTTATTTGCATATTTTACACATATTTCAAACTTAAATATCTCCGGAACTATTGCAAATATTTGCAAACAGTAAACGGCGTTTTTATTCTTTCATGGAATTCTATGTGATACACCTAAAAAATCAAGGGGGAAAAATTTGATCATAGTACCACTCCAAGCAAATAGGTTCAGCTGGCTCAGCGGCAAATCTATAGATCACATGAAAAATATCTCCTTCACCAGAATGTACATCACAGAAAAGTGATAACATGTACAATAGGGAAATTCATAAAAATAAACCAGGGCCACCAGACATTAAAGGAAAGGCATCAAAACAAGGGGGTACTCCCTTATACGAGTTATTTTGGTATGTGCAGCCTCAAAGGGTATGGGTTTTCAGCCATTTTGGTCATAAATATGGCATCGATTTTGACCATTTTGGCCACAAAATAATACAGTATGGCTTTTACACTCTAGTCTTGAAATGGGCATGTTTTTAAGAAGAAGCTACTTTTCCATCATTATCGATAAAGTCCTTCTCAAATTATGTTTACAGGGAACTAATCATAAGGCAGGTCTTTCTAAGATTCCCTTAATTACTCTTTAAGTTTAATTTTGTAATTGTAAATTTTGTAGTGTTTATATGTATCGATCTGTATGTTCTTTCACTATACCTGTAAAAGAAAATAAATAAATAAAATACAAAAAAAAAATAAGGCAGGTCTGAAACAGGGTATTGATTTAAGGGTCAGGTCAGAAATAGGGTATCAAATACTTGGTCAGGTCATAAAAAGGGGAGGCAAAATCACAGATTTTGGTCATAAATAGGGTAAGGGTTTTGGGAAGTGGGCCACACACCCCCACCCAGTTTTCTGGGAGTACCCTTCCTGGGATTCAAACAAACATTCCTCTGGACCCATGCATGAGCAACACAACACTGGTCAAGTTAAAAATCAAATCTGTTAAAAGTTCAACTCAACTGCCAGAAGAGAAAGTTATGTCTCCTCCTGGCTAGGTAATATCCTGTATATTTGTTAATGCAGGCAAGTTTATGGGAAAGTGACCAGATTATCTAAATCGAGGTTTAATTTCTATCAACTACAGTTTTGATACTGAAAAATCCATTTAGGGAGCTTCAATAAAGTATGTACACCTGTATATATAATATCTAATGTATTTAAACTTTAAATCATGCTGTTAGAATTTAACATTGCCTGTACTTTTTCTAAAAGGCTGCCTCCAACAAACAGTGGAAAGTTATGCATCACTGAACATAACAGAGGTACCACAATCAGAAGTTACCTGTATTGTAAGTGAATATTAAATTATGACAATTTGCAAAAAGCAGCAGCTATTATAAATTATTTATTACATCATTCAAGTGTTTTGCTTTGGCTAACATTATTTTGAAACAGTGAAAACAGAATATAGATTCCACTCACTTACTTACCCGACTCTAGCCGTTTTCTTTTAGCTGTATTACCAGTCACTGGATCACTACATCCTGAAGGACAAGCATTTGTATATTAATATTAATATTAATATTAATAGTTGTAATAAGAAAAGTAAACAATTATTAATTACAATGGTTAAATTGGTGAGTGGGAGGTGACTATCTCTTGTGGTCAAGTTAAGTAAAGTCAATCTTTATTTGAACACAAAATCCTACTATATTATTTTGTAGTTTCAAATATGTGTATGGCCTTCCATGTAGTCATTCACTTTCGATTACACCCACTACAGAACTTTTAAACTAAGATAAATAGTATGATATACCGGTAACCTTATTTGATCAAGGTTTCTATAACTTATACTATGTTAAAAATAATCTTTTCCATCCAATGATGCTTTAAAATTGTGTGTGTGCACTTGAAATATTGGTCAAATTCCATTCAATCCTAGTGGAGCACACGTGTAGATCAACTGTACATTTTTGCCCTTCTTTTGGGTTACTACAAGTTCTTGTGTTTATGCTGAGCAGTTAAATAAACAAAATAGGGAATGTCATATTCAAACTTGAAACAAATTCTTCACAAATACTACTGCTATATACAATGTAGGTCTGTGTGTGTACATTGTACATGTACCTGGAAGCTGCTTGGGTTGTGGCCTTGGTCTTGCTCTGATGCGAAACTCTTTTGATGTGAACTGTTGTTTTAAACCATCAATGAGTTCTACAATGATAACAAGTTGCCACATATTCCGCATCTCCATTTCTACTCTGTCAAGTGAATACACGAGTTCTCCTTTTGAAGTCTTATATACCGAATCCAGGTCAACCGAAAAATGAATTGATTGCACTCCATGTTTTTCATAACTAACTCTTAGCTCCATAGGTCCTGTAAAAATGTAAGAAATCTATGATCAAATTATTTTAAGTTTCTAATTTGTGTTGATCAAAACTGGACATAAACATCCACGCCCTGGGTATACATGTACCCTGGGCATTTGAAAATTTGTTGTACCAAGGAAAGTATGAATTTGACATCAGTGGTTGTCATTACGTTGGGGCATTTGACACCAGATGAGCTCATATGGGAGGGTTAAGGGGGAACTTGTTTTGAAGTCAAGGTCAAGGTAGAAGTCATCAGCAGACAGCACTGTTCTTTGCAACATTTTGTCTGGAAAAGAAAGGCCCTCAAAAGCTTTTTGCTGTGTTTGAAATTAAATAAATAATTTCACTTGTCAAAATTTAACCACTTGTATTTTAATGGTATATAAAAACAATACCTGGGACATAGTGAAAGTTAAAAGTGGGTGTTGGAGGGAGAATGTTTTTCTTTTCCATTAATCTTTTATACCATGTCAGGGGTTTATATTAAGGGCCAGGCACTGGGCAAATTGACTGGTTGTGAGGACGATTTTTCCCGCCTGGTTTGACCATCTGGAGGAAAGTTATTCTATTTTAGAATTTCAGTTCAAATAGTTTTGCCCACCTGTGAAAACAAGTTGCCCTCCTGCTGAAAACGTTAATGAAACTCCTGCCATGTATGTTCTGGGTTTGGGGGCATTTGATTGCATGCAATGCAGTTTAACCCTTT